TATATATATATATATAGAGAGAGAGAGAGAGAGAAAGGGACCAAGCATGCAGAAGGAGGGTCTGTCAAGGGCATGCTAGACAAGTCATGGGTCCACATAACCTTAGCTTCCACCAAACCGGCGGTTCTATTCGGGCTACGTTTTCTCAGTTTCCTATTGGATACATTATTTTTTTTTATTAATTTCTTTTACAGTTTCTGAGTTATTTATTTATTATTATTATTTTTTTAATTGAAAGTTATTTATCTTTTTTGACAAAACGAGCATGGCAACCTTTTGGATTTTGCAATGCCAAAATTGTTGCTATGGAAACGTTGCAGAAAAAGGATTACGTCGTACGTAGTAGAGAACAAAACCAACAAACTCTATTCATTATTAAAAATCTACAGGACTTGTAGTTTACATCTCAAATTCAATGGCCGACTTTTAACAATCAAGCAAACATGATTTAGATCTTCACATGCAAAGTTCATTTCCAACGTATATTTGACATGCATATTGACATATGTTGAGCTCGGTATAAACCTAACTTTGCTGAGACATGAACGGATGTGATCTTATAAAACACTCGCATCTGTGCATAAATTGCAAATATATAAATTAAACACACCTCAAGAAAATCATAAATACCTACATATATACATGATGTGTCTAGATTTTTGAACAATTAATCAAATTTATTATAGAACTTAGCTAGCAGCTAGCCAACAATAAGGTAGACATGTTTCTCTGTAGAAACGACATATATAAATCTTTTGAATTTGGAGAGTAATAGTATGTATCTTGAATTCTTTTAACTCCTCTCTATTTGGGTTATCTAAATAATTGAAATTTATTTATTACATATCATATTTATGTATTGTACGATACTTAGCATCGAGAATATATTAATAGAAATATCTACGTACTAATTTCTCAAACGTGTATTTTAGTTTTCTATAACAAGCCCTATAAATTCTTCAGTCACATATATAAAATATACACGCATTATTATATAGATTATGCGAAATCATACACATTTATCCAACTGAGATATTTATCCAACTGAGATGTATATATTAACGTGTATATAATTCTCCGGCTGCATGCATCCCTATGTGTGCTTCTTCAAGTTCATAATTTATCAAATATGCAAATTCCAATATCAAAATGATCTGAGCTAGTTGAACCCAATAATCCATTCAACTTCCTTCTAATTCCTCCTCCACTGCCCCCACCACCACCATCTTCGGTATCACCTTGTAAGAATGAAAAATTTAAGTCGGAACCATTGTTCCCTTCTAAGCTCGCAGAAAACCCTTCTCCAACACATCTGATATTCTCCTCTTGGCTCAGTTGAGAAGCTACAAACTTATCAAGGTCCCTCCAATCCCTCACTTCATTCGTATCATTATTGTCATTGTTGTTTGTGTTTCTTCCAATGTTTTGGTCGTCTTCTTGATTATGTTCGGATATCAAGCTAATAGGCCTCTTCATTGAAAGGATAGATGGGATTTCGAGCTGAGGGAGCTCCATAAACTGATCACAATGCCCAAAGTTCAAATTCTCAGCTGCTTCAAGCTCTTGCTTGCACATGAAGCTTTGTGTCAAAAGAAAATTTGAAGGCTGATTTGTGATACAATTATCCATGGTTGATGTTATGCAGCTTGATTCGTCATAGAAATAGTTGGGTTCCCATCCTTTGGTTGTTCTTGATTGTCCTGTGGCACGTTTCTTGAATGCTCGACAAACCACCCATCCTTCTTCCTGCACATCATGCATCCCGCCCCATACATGAGATAAATTCGGATTTCTTTATCATACATTATAGTTAGAAATGAACTAGATGTGATATATCTGAACTTGAAGTCAAAATGATTGTAAATTATCAAGTTAAAGGACTTGTATAAAGTCTTTGCTAAAAGCAACCTTGTTAGGGTAATTGGCAGTGATAGTAAGACGTATTTTCAGAAGGTAAGGCAAATTTAGTTCAAAGTTTAATGCACTTTTTAGCCTCAGAGATCTTTTCATGAAAGTCAAACGCTTGCTTTACCACAGAAACACACTCAAAGATTTGACACCAAAAAGAAATGGGCAATAGTCATGCACAAACAAACACACACTCATAGACCCTAAGATAGTGGAGAGCATGCATGAAAAAAGATGATTGAAACCCCCAAAAAAAGTTTACAGTTTATAAATTAAGGATAATAAGTATTACAAGTGGGCATTGAACATTAGGATTAAGGGATCGAGAGTTATTGACTTTAATTAGCCATGTTCATATGGCATCCAGGATTCGACTAATACAGAAGAAGCCCGGATTTATTATATATGACCCGAAAAACCACAAGATACGAAGAAAAATTCAAATATGAGAGTATGTATGAAAGAGAACGATTACAAGGAATTTCATATGTAGGAATTATATATCAGCTTATTAAATCTAATTAATCATGTTCATTATAGCATGAGATTCAATAACAAGAAAAACCTTCGAAAAGAACAAATCAAGAACGATCCTTTTTGTAAATTCAAGGGATACTAACAGCTTACCTGAGGAGGGCCATTTTCTTCGGATTCAAGTCTGTACTCGTGCATGATCCAGTCAGTTTTCTGGCCATTTGGTGCCCTTCCTTTGTAGAAAACCAGGGTTTTCCTCATTCCTATGAGCCTAAGTTTTTCATATACCGCTTTGTCTCTCCCTGTAGCCTTCCAAAACCCTGCCACGGTTGCCCTATTCGTTCTTGTCCCCGTTGGATACTTTTTATCCTTGTAACTGAAGAAATACCACTCATTTTGCTCCTCGTGTCCGATCCGACATTTCTCTGGAAAAGAACACAAATCTACGTGAGAATTACAAGACCATTTTCATTGCTCGAAAAAGAATTAACTAAAGATGAAAACA